ACCGGTCACACCTGGCGCCCTCGTTTTCCCGAGGCATGAAAGAAAGGAACTGCCTCGGCTGCCCCGACAGAACTGGCAGCGCCGGGAAGTCTACTCATCTGGCGTAGTTTTGAACGTCCCGGACAAAGGACGCTCCTACAGCCTCGAGCTACCTGGGGGCAGCAAGACAACGAGAAAGAAAACGGTCTGGTGCAAGAGCGCGCGCAAGAGCGTGGTGTTTTTATCTTTTGCTGGAACTCGCAACCTCGATGAACGCTGCTGACGATCAGCCGCCTAACCTGTACATAGGATGTAATTAAATCTGTACATACTGTACAGTTCGTTACCGCTGATCGGCTCCCAGTCTCCTGCCCCACTCCCGCTCCCGTGCCTGGCATGAGTCGACACACCACCAACCAGGGTCAAACGCTCGGTCCCAACATAGGCTATCAGAGGTAACACCTCCCACGAATACATTTTGGCTGCGGTTTACGAGATATGATTCAATCCACTTGGTTATCTTGGTATTATTGAGGATGTTGCTATTATTCTTTGTCGCTGAGGTTGGCTCTGACGCCGTCTCCAAGTGTCCGTCGGAGAGCAGTCCTTCCCCTTGCTCAGCGACAATCCTGACATTAGACACCGACCTGCAAAAAGTCGAAGTGTATTTTTTTTCCTCCAGCTCCAACAATTCACGTCTCTTGCTGAACATTTTGCTCGAGGGCGTGCTTGATATCTGCACCAGGAACAGGATTGTTCTGGACTTTGAGTGATGCACTGGATGTCGTGTCAACGTCCCGTTCCAAACCACTGTAGTCGTTCGTGGTACAGTACTTTATATATAGGCAGTGCCACTGCCGAAACGTCGACGGACGTCAGGCCCCTTCTTATTTTTATCCATTTTTTATTTTCAATTCTTTATATTATTTTTCATTTAACAATTTATTTTTGTAAGTTCTTGTGTGTTAACTTTGACTTTTACTCCGTCCTGTTTAGGAGTTTCTTTCCCGCGTAATTAGCGTTCTTGTGCCTAGTCTTCATTATTCCCGTAAACTAATACACCTTTTTTTCGGCACTTCACCCTTTTTTCTTGCGTGACTTTTTTCGCCATTAAATTAGAATTTTATTCTTTGCATCCTACGGCTGCTGTGTCTGCGCACATCACTTTTGCCCATATATCAACGGAAGCATTTGTCAACATTCGTCACTGTTTATATATATATTATTTTTTTTCCTGGCATGGATCTTGGCTTTTTTTATTTTGTGCTTTTTGAGCCAGGTATCTCTTTCTGTTACCGTCGGACAGTTCGTGTATTCGAGCGATTGTCAGTGCCTTCAATAAGTTAATAGTCGAGTTCAGTTGCAGCTTTTTTTATATGTTCCTGTCTTGCAGGCCTACCACCAAGCGGTCTTTGATAATTTTTCTTAGTTCACCAGAGTAATTATAAAACAGGAATAACTAAATAAACCGACCAACTTAGATAAGCATCTCAACAAAAAAATATTTTTAGAGTAAGTATTGAAGGCCCTGCAATCCTATTTAAGCGTCTTTTGCGGTTTCCACATCTCTTGTGGTTCGGACAACCCGGCAAGCACGGATAGAGTAACCAAATATCGGTGCGTCATATTCTAACCGGACGACGTGGAAGCCTCGATCCTCCACGTACGGAGGCGCCCTATGGTGCCGAACGCGCGCGCGGCATGTGACGACATCGCGACGTTGTTGGTCCTGGCCAGCTCCTGCCTTACGACAGCTCGTAGCTGCTAAAAGCTTTTTTTAGTTGAAATACAAAATATAAGTGGCGCGAACCGTTTCAATTATTTATGAAAGTAGTTGTGAAATACAAAATATAAGTGGCGCGAACCGTTTCAATCATTTATGAAAGTAGTTGTGAAGTACAAATATAAGTGGCAGCGGTAGTGCCGTAGTCATAGAGCCGTCTTTTTAATCACATTTCAGAATACATTTTTCCCTAGTCAATTGTAACGAGGTTCCTCATCTGACACGAAGCGTTGTCCACAAACCCGTATTTGGGGTACGAAGCTTTTCTTTCGGGATTATAGAGTCAACATGTAGAGCGAAAGTCCCATGCATTTGGCCGCGACGGAACGGCGAGGCATAGACGCGTGGACATAACGGCGGCCCTATGTTGGCGGTCCCGATGAACCCATTTTGGTTGCGACGCCTTAGTATGCACAAAGAAACAGCAAAACATATATAATTTCTGTACCATGCTATTTTCTTTTTTACTTTGAAGAAATACACCTGAATCGCGCGTTGACAAAATTAAATAAAGTTTACAAACGCTCGAGCAACTTGAACTTTTCAATGCAAAGCTAACACGCCTAAACCAGCCTATTTAAGCATGCCCTCCAGTAATGAAATCCCGTGTCACTGAAGGGTGACTTGACACCTTCGGTCACTCTTTGGGTTCAAGACTTCAATCCACGAAGTTCCTTCAGCGTGGCACAACGGTGCTCCGGCATACCTTGAGTTAAGCAAGCGTGATGTTATCAGCTCCACTCAATATCGGTGACCTAAATTTTGGTCCCAAATCGTTGCTTCGCCTGTTATGGCTTATCTGTGTACAACCTTTGTTTGGTATGGGTTACCAGTTCTCCTAAAAAATGGTGCAATGTCCATCGCGTCTGCACTTTATCCCAGCCTGTGTTTCGCCCTGGTAGCCAAAAAAATTAGGTGAGCTTTTGTCGGTGAGCTGTTGTCCGGTGAGATTTTGTCCGATTACCTAGTGAGCTCGTGCACAAATAGAAACTCAGTGCGACGTCAATTCCTTTCTCATGGAAACGCGGTTAATTAATCGTAACTTCTTTTACTCGCCTTGCAATTTCTTTACATCTCTTTTAAGCATCTCTGATTGTTCTTCCCCACCATTGCAATCCCGTCGCTTTTGCTTTATGTGACATAGCGCCCCTGAATACGTGATCTTTCAGGATTTTCTTGATAAAATTGATACCTGAACGTTAAGCCGGGGCCACACTGCTCATAAATCCTACAAAGGACGATCTGCATAGAGATTCGAACGCGAGTCACCGCGAGGTCCGTGCTTCGAATGCTGCAGGGCAATGAGTTGAAGGAGGAACATGGCACGCGGTATTCGAAACACGGATCTCGCGGTGACTCGATCGTGTCTGTCAGACTGTCTTTTGTATGAGGTGTAAGGGGTGTGACCCGGGTTTCAATTTAGAATTCTATGTCGTGCCTTTGAATCAAAAAGGAGCCATTCCGTCTCCTCATTTGTTTTGTATCCAAACGTTTGCTTAGTAGACTTTTTCTTTGCAAATCACCTAGATCGGTCGCACACATAATTCGGAGTGCACAGAATGTGTAGTATGTGTGATAGGCTTAGCTGCCCTCGTAGGAGTATTTTGCACTTTTGTTTGGCCACCCCAGACACCACACATCAAGCGTACTCCGAATTTATCCGTGGGATCATGGTAAGTTTATTTTTCTTCTGTTGGCAGGGGTGCAGAAAAAACTTCGAGCTTCTGCCTCTTGCCTTTCACTGTGAGGGCGTATTAAGTCGGAAGTAGTAGTACGCGACGAAATGAAGCTCCTGACCTTGCCGCGTGAAGCCACTGCGCCAGTCAGCCTAGAGGGGAGTGAAGAGGCTTCTATTCAAACAGAGCTTGTGCCCGGGCCCTATTGGGCAAGCACATAGAAGACAAAGATGTTGAGACAATTTAGGGGTCCCGTGTATTATAGCGAAGGCTAGAGCAGGAGTTCATAGCACTGCAAGAGGATCCGGCTGCACGAGAGCTCATGCAGCGGGATTACGTTGTTTCGCTTTTCCAGACTTCACTCTGCCGTGACAATCGCTCGCTCGCTCGCTCAAAATGTGTTTAAAAAAACAAAACAAAAAAAGAAAACAGGTTTTTAGGTCACGGTGGAACAAACACATTTTTCTTTCACCGAGCTCCACGCCAGACTCGTCAAACCAAACAGGTCTCCAAACAGGAAGGAGCGAAAACAGGGCGCGCCATCTATCGGTTTTCTTTCCAACGAATTCCCGCGACGACGAAGGAGCCAGGCGTGCACTGATCGCTCTAATCCCCATCCCCGTTCTCGGCCCTTACGCTTCCCTTAGCCTTGCCGCCGTGCGCGGCCTTCCCCCCTCTTTCGGCCTCGACACCCCTCCCGGCCTTTTCGCAGTCGTCGGCCTAGCCCCCGCACTCGGCAGTTCCGGCTCGCTCGGTCCTAATCCACGCTCGGCCCTTCCGCGGGGGTCGCCCCAGTGGGAAGGCTGAGACGCTAAGCGTAACACTCGAGGGGAGAGAGAGCAGAGAGAGAGAGAGAGAGAGAGAGAAAGACGAGACAGCGAGGACCAAGTCGCACACCTTTTAGAGCAAAGGAAAAAACCTCAATAAAAAAATAGTGTTGCTACAGGCCCAAAACATGGATTGAAGAGCTCACATGAGAACGAACGCTACACTGTTACGCGTTTCGCTTCGACCGCACAGGGCAGCGACATATTTGGGATCGCGACTGCTGCGCCGCTACTCGGTTCTGAAACGAAGCTTGGGAGTTTCGGTACTCTGGGAACATTCATTGACTCTAGGCAATACAGTATCGTCTGTGCTTCCTGATACAGTATTTAAGGCCCGAGAAGTGACATTTCTGAATCGTAGCTACCACCGTTGCGACGGCTCTCCACTAAACAAAATGGCGGCACCCAGTGCGGAGCCTCGATGCGCCATTCCGGCTCTGAGTAGAGTATCGACACGCCATTTCCAGTTTGGGTATGAATTGTCGATTTTATTTAGTGGCTCTAGGCTGATCAAATAACAGCCGACGCATATTTTGCGAATGCACGAGCAACCTGCGCATGTTCAGAATTTGTGTCGACTGCTTTCGGAACCAAAACAGCCGGCTTGGAATTCGCGTCCGCAGCTAGGTGGCATTTTTCTGCGGAAAGTTTTTTTTTCGTAGAACGGAGTACTCAAGGGTTCGAAAAACCAGTGCTATACAGCTTGTACTCAATTTTTGACTATCATTTTTGCAGGCGCTGCCGCATGGCCGGTGTCCCAGACGGGTTTGTTGCCCTCTATGACAAGGCATCAACCCTGACAGACGTGCTGGGCTGTTTTCCGCTCACGGAAATCCAGAGGCAGAGGTGTGACCAGCGTCAAGAATTGACGAACAACTTTATTCTTACTGCCAGACGAAGTGCCATCGGTGAAGATTCGACCGTTGGGGCTCTGGAACAATACGTTGACTTTTGCAAGGCTGCGGAACGCCTTCTGGGAACGCAGAAATCGGATGTGTTTTGTCTCCAGTGGTACAGACACGGCTGTTTTGGAAACCTGCTTTTTCTGAGAGAAAATTTCCGCGAACTGTACGCTTTATTGGGACCGCATCATACCCTCTCTGTTCTTTGCCACTACGTGATCTTCGAGCAAATCGAGCCCGGCACATACGTTCAATGGACCGGAGATCCAGCAACGGTTGTGGCTTTTGCTCGGTGGAAACAGCTTCGTGGGAAACCTTGCGCACCCCCGACCAAGAAGGCTCGTCCGGAAACCACCGCGGGAGGATCTCATCTTCCCACAGGGATCTCACTGTCAAATCTACATGGCCTGAAGAGAAACGTCCGGAAAAGTGCCAAAGCGCGAAGCAAATCAAACGATAATCATTTGAAAATTGGACTGTGGCCGATGCTGTACGTCACCAATCCTCGGAAGCTCCAAAGCAAGTTCCTTCTTGGTCAGCCTGGAAACCTGAAGAACGCTCGCAAACTTGCACTCAAGGTTCTCCCCCCGGATCTGTGCAGCTCCGAAGTTGCTGGTGAGGCGTCTTTGATACGAGCGCTCAGGCAGTTCCTGAAGAACCACAGGTCCTGTAGCTACCATCGTCTCCTGGACGAACACTGTCCCCGGCAAGTTGAGAGCTACGATTGCTCACAAATATCTAGCGTGACCGAAGCACACGAGTCGTCGACACCAAGCTGCGATTCCTCACTGAAGACAGTATCAGACTTGAGCGAAGCGCACGAGTCTTCGAAGTCCGTGACGGCGTTTTTGCACGCGGTCTTGCGGCGGTTGCTGCCAACGGAGCTTTTGGGCACGAGGTCAAACCTGAGGCACCTCATCAGGAATATTGCAGCAGTCGCTTCTGCTCTCAAGGGGGAGGTCTTTGACGTGGTAGAGCTTGCTGTCGGCATAAAGGTCAACCACGTGCCTTGGTTGGCTCGCGTAGCTGATCCTGATGTGCGCTCCAAAATCTTGCATCTCTTTGTGGCCTGGTGCGTGAGGCTGGCTTTGACGATCGTTGCTTGCAACTTCTATGTTACAGATTCTAGAAAAAGCAAGCGGATCGTATTTTTTTACAAAAGAACCATCTGGAATGCAATATCGAGGATTTGGATCGACGAAGCCGAGATGCTGAGCAATGAGGTAATCGACAGTCCCAGAGTCCAAGGATTCGGGCGTCTGCTCCCGAAGGGCACTGGAGGCTTGCGGCTGCTCGTGACAGTCAAGGAATCCAGGGAACGACAGAATAAGATCAGAACGCTTAAGGTGTTTCTGAACTCGCTCATGGTGAAGACCGGTTTGGATATCTACGCCCAGTGGAAGAAGTTCGTACGAGACTGGAAGAACATGGGCCGACCTCCAATATACTTTGTGAAAACGGACATCGAAAACTTCTTTCACTCCATCGACCACAAAGTGGCACTCGAGCTGTTGAATCGCGCTTTCGATAGGAACGAGAAGGAAAGACGAATCGTTTCCTTCACGCTCATCAAGGTTGACAGCCGTCACGGCTTCATGAAGGGCTGGGTTCAGCGCTTTGCGAGCGACATCGTGAACATACAAGCCGTGCCACGAAATTCAGCAGTACCTTCCAACGGCAAGATAAGTCTTCTGGTGCCCAAACTCTGCCTCCTGCCGAGTGTGACGGCCCTTAAACAACTGCTCTGCGATTACCTGGGACACTTCCAGGTTCACCTGAACGGAAAACAATTTCTTGTAACGCGGGGCATCGTCCAAGGAGGCATGCTCTCCTGCCAGATCGCAGACGTGTACCTCGCCGCCATGCGTGACAAGCACTTGTCCTCTTTCGGCAGGGCACCGGGAGAGCTCCTGCTTCGCTCGATGGACGACTTCCTCTTCGTCACTCCGAGCGAAACCGAGGCGGCCTCGTTCATGGACAGCTTTGTGCAGGGCTTTCCGGACTTCAAGCTCCGAGTCAACTTCGCCAAGATCGAAACTAACCTCAAGGTGGACAGGATTCCTGTGGTTTTGCCGCAAAACAGCGTACACTTCTGCGGCTTCGTCTTCGACACTGCCACCCTAGAGGTCTCCGAAGAACACGAAGACGCCGTCCGTCCGCTGACCAGGCGCAGCAGAAGCTCCGAAGCTGGCCTTATGCCGTACCTGGAGCACTGGCAGATCCAGCTGCGGCCGCTGATTCTGGACTCTACCATCAACTCGAGGAATCGCGTGCTTGCAACGTTGTTCGGCAAGGTGCTTGTCTTCGCCGACCGATTCTTCTTCACCGTGGACGGGATGCGGTACGTCAACGGACCGTACGTGGCGGAAGTTTTCTGCGGGGCTCTGGACTGCCTTTTGATGAGGCTGTTCCGCTGTGCAACGACTAACGGATTCGAGCTGTGTTTCTCTGTGGGCGAGTTGCGGCTAGTGTTTTGGGAGGTGGTCCTCCGGAAGGCGGGTGGAAGAAACAGGGCAGTTAGAGCGGCGTTGAGGACGACGCTCACCGATGTCCGGAAGAAGGTTCCAGCATCAAGTGCGGAGTTCTTGGTTGACTTTGTGGTACGTGAATTTAGTTTACGTGAAAGCCGCCGTGTTGGAAGTAACGCGAAAGAGGCAACTGCAAGACTTGGCGGAAGCGTGTTAGCGTAATACTCTAAGCGAGTAATGAACTCGCACTTTGACAAATGGCAAACGGGGTTTCAGCGTTCTAGTTTTTCGGTTGCGGGATGTTTTTGGTTAGATAATAGAAGAATGCACTTTTTGGAGTCATTGCGTCGAAATTTGTTTTTGACCCTTACGGACCGGTATTTTCATGTGCAAGTGTAGAAAGTGATATTCCGTGCCACTGTTTATTTGTGCGTGTTTATTAAATGGCATTAGAATAGTGGCTGCGTGGAATCATCCTGAAAAATAGTTTTTCGAGTACCTTTCACTTAATACTTTCTTTTTACTCATTACGATAGTCTGCCACTATAAACCGATTAGGTAATGTTTTCGGGTTAGAAATGTTTCAGCCAACCTTTCACAGCTGTTAATGTCAGGGTTGGTAGTATTATTAATAGTTAGGCCACGTGTCAGGGCGGTTGAGCTGATTAAAATAAAATAAATGTGAACACGAAACTAATAAGGTGCACGTGCCTTGCCGAGGCGCGGTATGCACGTGCGCCGTTCTTCCGTCCCACGAGGCAGGCGAGGCCGTAGCTTCGCGCCTCTGCCACACGGGGGCAGGAGCGATTGGAAACAAACGAAACAGGAAATCTAGAAAGATGTCCAAATCAAGTGTTTCTTCGGAACGCAATAAAATGCTTCACCTGCCTTAGATTTTTCTAAAATTAATTGATTTAGTAGTTTCCCAGAATACTCAGCAAGTTTATAATTAAACCAGTCTACCTCCACAAATTAAAAAAAAAAGATGAATTAATTCTAGGCAGTTATTTGCCGTATTTTTTTTTTAGGGGAATAGTAGGCTATTTTCACGCGCGGGGACGTAGCCAAGTCGGGATGAGATAAGGCTCCATCCACGCATAAGTTCACGTGACTTATAAGGACACAATTTGTTTTATGTACATAATATGCTTTCTTATAAATAAATATAGGAAAAAAAAAGTAAAGAGTTCATATTTTATTGCTGTTTTAAATTTAATATGTCAGGTGACCTTTAGACAATTTATCAAGTTTACCGTTATCTTACTCTAATAGCAAATATCGTGCGTCATAAAAATAGTATCGATAGATATCTTTATAGCTCTGTTGTCTAGGAGTCACAAACACGCGTGGGCGGCGTGCGTGCCATCCGTGCGTGCGGGCGTGCAGCCATGTGGTGCGGGTGCGGCCTCCGGGGACTTCATGTGTGCATCGCTGCCGAGGCGAGGCGGTGACGCTTCGTCGTGCATGTGGGTGGCTTTGTTAGAGGCGTTTTAGTTTTGAGCTTATGTGCATCGAAGGGCAGGAACGCAAGTAGCAATTTCCGCCAAGCGCAAGACAAAACAGTGGGAGGCAGGACCTGAAGTTGATTTCTGCGTAGACGGAGAGAAGACGGGAGAACTGGCTCCGCCCACGGAGGAAGTGACGTAGTGCGTGCATGGAGCCTTCTCTCCTGCGGCTTGGCTACGTTTCCACGCGGGGATCTAGACGCTTTTTTTTTTATTCCCTGACGTTTGCCGTGGCTGGCAGTTTGTTCTCGGAAGTGTTTCTAATCTTTTTAACCACCCTTGTTAGGGGTCTTTAAAAGTTTGCTGTAACACCTAGTATAATTAGGTTATCCGTGTTTTCAAATAAATCCGATAAATACCGGGGGAAAATAAACACTCGCCGGTGAAAACTGCGGCAATTCGGATCTATCCGAAAAACTCCTAATTTAAAAGTAAAAAAAAAAAAAAAAAAAAAAAAGACATGGTATTTTATGAATGAAGTTTGTCAGAGCACAAGGCTAGTGGTTCTGAGTAAACACCAATTCAGTTTTTTTTAAAATTAATTTTATGACTATTGACAAAAAGATGTTTCCCGTTTATCTGGTCGATATTCGTTCAGTACGGTGCGCAGATGTACTCCTGAACCTCGACAAAAGTCACTGTTGGGTCATTCCATGTGAAACGTCCCAGACGTTGCGCTCGACCACCTCCGATTTCTAAAAAAAAATTCATGGGCTTCGGCCACAATGTCAGTAACCATACCCTAAAATAGTTTTGACGAAAAAAATTTTTTGATGACGTGAGCGCGATTTTAGTTTTTGAAAACAGCGTGAAACTAGGCATCACTCCATAATTTACGAAAAATCAGCTTTTTTATGAAACACCCAACAATATTTTTTTCTTAAATTTCCACGGTTGTCGGCTTATAATGTGGTTGCGTTTGTGCAGTTTTGTTTATTTTAAATATTTTTTACAAATACATAATTTTATTCAAAAATAAACATTTATGTCATTTTATTAAAAAATATATAATTGCTCCCGGGACCCAAAATAACTTTTTACTGGCTGCCCTTTAGGTATATAACCTATAAAAAATATTTTAAACCGCTCAATTAAACATCTTGCAGTAAAAAAAAATCCTGAAGTTACCAAAAAGTGCGTTTTGACGCATAAAGAGCCGTTCATTCCACCCTGAGGTGGTCCAAGTGAAAATACAAAATATGGTGGGTTTGGAAGAACGATTGATCGTCTTTTGATTCTGAAAGTTTAATCGGAGTAATTTTCGTTTAAAGCGAGAAAACAATTTTTTAAGTTGAACTTTCGCACCACTACCTGGCGTCGCTTCTTAACGCCTCTTCGCCGCACAGCACGCCACCTGCGACGATAGCCGAAGCGATTAGGTCCAAAGAAACAACGGAGCTTGCTGCCCGCTTCCCCACGTACCTCTTTTCTGGCTGTAAGGGAAGAAACGGCGGGTATCGTGTACTAATCGGGGGTGCCGCCAGTGCGTCGCCATAGCAGGCCGGCTTTGCCCTTTGTACCCGAAGGCGGCTCCTCACCCTCCGAAACCCTACGCCTAATCGACGGGCGGCATCAGCTGACTTGGACGTCTGAAACGCGTTAATATCGCTGCGAAATCTAGCCGTCACGCACTCTGCGGTGAAAAGCGGAACTATGATCCGGTTCGCGCTTAGTTGGACCGCAGTGAAGGCTACAGGCGCGTGATCAAAGTCTGAAACGCGCTGATTCGGTGTGTTAACTCAGATGCTTGAAGCATCGTCGCAAGCCAAGAGTTCACTTGTAGCATTATTTTCGGTCCATATTGTCAGTGCGGGAATCTTTACATGACCCATTGGAAATATTGAATAAACAAAGGCACCTGTCCGCACTATTGACACTGGGTATCGAGTCTCATTCCTTGCCTTTTGAGGAGCCCGCTTCTGCGCTAGTAAGCTAAGAAAGGGCTGACAAGCGAGAAGTTGGCTTTTGAACGACCATTTGAGATCGGAAATCTGTCGAAGAAAGAACTTCATTTTTCGTCAAGTACGTTGTACGGTGGTGTAACGATGGATCAAGCTGGTGCCTCTGGAGAAAGAAGTCAATCTACGGTTCCTGTGGATGCTGATCAGGGTACGTAAGAAAGCCGGCTTTATTTTCTACAATACAATGATAGTTGTTTCCTGTTTACTCGTGCCTAACCTGTCACAGTATCTGTATAGTTGCGGCCGCTCAATTCATGACCTTTTCAAACCAGATGGACTAGCTATTTTTTTAAAGCTGGCCGTTTGTCGTACATGTAGTATGTGTTACGTTAGACATGTATAAGCCCAAGCTTTAGGGAAGGATGCGTTGGCTTATATTAAATACACATGGTTCGCCTTATACCTGTCACAAACCAATTAGCGGTATAAAAGTTCAAAGCCGAATGGCGTTTTGCGTACAAGGCTAGCTTCTGCACGTAAGGCGCATATGTTCCCGACATGTCATTTATGCGCAGCACGCAGATATGGCTCACATGAATGAAGGAGCAGTCATGTTGCATTTAAATTTCTTTTTCATGGCAGAAGCCGAACTTCCTCCGTGCTCCCTGGGTGCAAGGGGTTGCCATGTGACCACACAGACCAAGACGCGGTCCCTCATCAACGCTCAAGACCTGACGCACACGGATCGGCGGCTCCTTTCGCTCCGTTCCGGGCGCTTACAAGGTGACATCCGTACAGTGTGTTCAAATCATTATCAAGTATCACTGATTGCATCCAAGTGGTGTTCTAACCCTTTCTATGAACACGTCAAAAACCGCCGTGGATCAGCTGTAATTACAATAGCCTTGGCAGATGCGCACCCCAATTTAAACCTTATTCCTGGAAACCGACTTTGTCAAGCCTGCCGGCGAAATTGTTTCGAATTGAAGAAGAGACCTACTTTTCAAGCTCGTGATGCCCCTTCTGAGCATGATGACCCCGAGGTAGCACTTGAGAGCGTCAACGAGGCCCTCGCAGCCGTTGGAGAGAGCCCTCTCCAACGAAAACGAGGGCGAACAAGCCGCGAGACATACGCCCAAAAGAAGGTTAGACAACTTAAAATCTCTGCCGAAAGAAGAATTTATACATCTTTGGGTGTATAGCAGAAACGAACTTCTCAGCCGAACCAGGATGAATATTTTGTTTTGAGTGACTACGTGTCACTCATGCAAGATGTAAAAAACAAGTTTGACCTGGAGAAAAATAGAGAGAGAAAATAACAACTTCTAACATTGACCCCACCCTCTTGGTCTCGCCAAAAGATTATGAACTTCTTTGGAGCCTCGGAACGACAAGCGCGTCAAGCCGTAAAGGTCAGGTCAGAATCTGGAATATTGGGCACCGTGCCGAAAAGAAGAGGCCGCCCGGTCAGCGAAGAAGTTAAGGCCTCCATCATGGAGTTCTATCAGGACGACGCTGTCTCGTACTGCCTACCGGGAAAAAGGGACGTGCTACGTGGTCGCCAAAAGCGTCTGTTGTTGCTCAACTTGAAAGAAACGCACGAGGAATGGAAAAAAAGCTGCGATTTCAGGTGCGGTTTTTCAACATTCGCAAGTCTGCGGCCTTCACATTGTGTCCTAGCAGGGGGGAGCGGCACTCACACAGTTTGCGTGTGCATGCAACACCAGAATTTTAAGCTCATGCTCCACGCTACAGGATTAGACGAAAGCACCGAAGAACTTCTATCCACTACAGTATGTGATCACAATGAAGAGTGCATGCTTGACAGGTGTGCCAAATGCCCAAGTACCGATTTGGCTGATACTTTGCGCCGCAGCACTCCACTTCTTGACTCGGAAGAAACGGATTACGTCCATGTGCAACAGTGGGTTAGCGGGGTGCGTTGCCAACTGGAAATCATTGTTCTGACACCAGACGAGTTCCCCGAAAATTTTTTAGATATGCTGAAGGTACTGAAGGCTCACCACTTTCTGAGCAAACAACAGACACGATACTTGCGGGAGCGCAAAGCAAACATAGGCAAACACGAGGCAATAGTACTCATGGACTTCGCTGAAAATTATAGTTTCATCGTGCAGGACGCCCCGCAATCCTATCACTGGGTGAATACTCAGGCATCAGTCCACCCCGTTGTTATTTACTTTCGCAAACAAGAAGCCACCACCCAAGAGATTTCTATAAAATCATTCAGTTTTACTGCCTAGAACACGACACGGTGGCTGTTTCTGTATTTCAGAGTGAAGTAATTAAGATATTGAAGCGAGACCTTCCGCAAATTAGAAAAATTCACTACTTCTCAGATGGTGCGTCCTCTCAGTACAAGAATAAAAAAAACTTTGCAAACCTCTGTCTGCACGAAAATGATTTCGGCATTTTCGTTGAATGGAATTTTTTCGCAACGTCCCACGGGAAGAGTGCTTGTGACGGAGTCGGGGGTACAGTGAAGGCGTCTGGCAGCAAGGGCCAGTCTTCGAAGTCCTTTCGAGAACCAAATCATGACCCCCCAGCAGCTGTTTACCTGGGCCAAAAATAACATCGGGGGCATAACAATACTTTGGGTGCCGAAAGAAATGGTTGAAGAAAAACGAGCTCAACTCACTCCAAGATTTAGCTCAGCGGTCCCCGTCAAAGGGACAAGAAGTTACCATCACTTTAAGCCTGCGTCACCATCTACGCTACGCGCTGGACTTACGTCCTATTCAGCAACGCAAGAATTTGACATTTCAAAGCCGATTTGAACACAAACGACGCGTGAGCCTTCAACGGCGCGCATTCGTCAACACCACATCACCTCGTCGTTCGAGATTGCCCGTTCACGGGTCTTTTGTGCTGCTGTTTACATCTGTCCTGACGTTAACAAGATACTGATTGGGTTGTGTATGTAGGAAACAGCTAGCTTACTAATGGATGCTCTGAATCGGCAGCGCTGAGCCTCTCCTGACATCAAGACACTGGAAGATCACAGGAGGACATCGCCGCGTAAAACGGTCGAAATGGGAAAAGCCATAAAGCAACAAGAGTAAAAAACAGCCCATTTTCACCGAGATGTACCCGACAGCTCAAGGTCCTGCTCCCTACCTGCGTGGGCCCACCGTTACACAGTCGCACGCTTCGTCGGGCTCGACGGTGCTGTGCTGTGCAGAGAAGAGGCACAAGAAACGACACCAGGTTGCAACGTAAAAGCTCAACTGCAAAATGTTTTTTTTTTGTATTTAGAACAAAATTATTTTAATTAAACTTTCAAGAACAAAAGGCAATAAACTCTTCTGTAAAAGTCACCATGTTTCGCATTTTTCTTTCGACCACCTCAAGGCAGAATTGACGGCTCTTTAAACGGCAGCACGAAATTTTGCACAAATTAAGTTGTTTTTTCTGCAAGATATTTAGTTGTACGGCCCGAAACTTTTTTTGTGCAGTATATTCACAGGGTTTCCAATAAGAATTGTTAATCACCTGCAGAAACGAGAAGTTTGTAACCAAACTATCTCGTTATTACTAACTAACTATCTCATATATTACTTTTTTTTTTTTAAAACTGCTTCGAGCGAATATTCATGAGCCTTATTACACAACAATCAAAATACCATGTGGTTCTTAGGAAAAAAATAGTCCACTGTTCTATAAAATATCTTAATTTTCATCAATTAATAAATGACTCATAGTTTCACTCCTTTTTTACGAGTTGAAACCGCCATCACCCTATAAAATTTGTTTCTCGTCAAAAATATTTTAGAGAAGCACCACAAACATTATAGCGAAGAACCATTAATTTTATTTTAGGAATCGGAGGTCGTCGTGGGACCTTTGGCATGGCATGAAGAAGTCCACGTCAGCTGATGCCGCCCGTCGATTAGGCATCGCGTTTAGGAGTGAGCCGCCCTCGGGTACAAAGGGTACAACGGGCCTGCCATGGCGACGCACTGGCGGCACCCCCGATTAATGCACGATACCCGCCGTTTCTTCCCTTACAGCCCGAAAAGAGGGACGAGGGGAAGCGGGCAGCAAACTCCGCTGTTTCTTTGCACCTAATCGCGTCGGCTATTGTTGCACGTGGCGTGCTGTGCGGCGAAGAGGCGTTTAAGAAGCGACGCCGGGTAGTGGTGCGAGAGTTCAACTTCAAAAATTGTTTTCTCACTTTAAACAAAAATTACTCTGATTAAACTTTCAGAAACAAAAGACGATCAATTGTTCTTGCAAACCCACCATATTTTGTATTTTTACTTGGACCACCTCAGGGTGGAATAAACGGCTGTTTATGCGTCAAAACGCGCTTTTTGGCAACTTCAGGATATTTTTTTTTTACTGCAAGATGTTCAATTGAGCGGTTTAAAATATTTTTATAGGTTATATACCTAGAGGGACATCAGTAGAAAGTTACATTAGGTCCCGGGAGCAATTATATATTTTTTTAATAAAATGACAAAAATGATTATTTTTGAATAAAATTATGTATTAAAAAAAATATTTAAATTAAACAAAACTGCACAAACTCAACCACATTATAAGCCGACGACCGTGCAAATTTAAGAAAAAAATATTGTTGGGTGTTTCATAAAAAAATTATTTTTCGTAAATTATTGAGTGATGCCTAGTTTCACGCTGTTTTCAAAAATTAAAATCGCGCTCACGTCATAACAAATTTTTTTTTCGCCAGAACTATTTTAGGTACGGCTACGAAAATTGTGGCCGAAGCCCATGAATTTTTTTTTAGAAATCGGAGGTGGTCGAGCGCAACGTCTGGGACGTTTCACGTGGAATGACCCTGTTCCGGTTTACAGTTTGGACCATAGAGGAAGGAGGGGTTGTGTTTTTGTAGAAGTGAAATATGTAAACCTTTAGATTTCGTAGGATGGCAGCTGAAGGATTTATACGTGTTTGGCTATTTTAAGGTACCGACGTTTATTGAAGTAACATTTGTTCTCGAGATTTACCTTGGGACAGGTAGTACTGCCAATGGCGAGGTCACGAACGCCAAATACAGCTGCAGAAATATCTTTCAATACCGGTGATTTTTTTATGAACTTACTGTACGTTTGCGTCCGGAAACTATTTGTATTTTGAAAAAGAAAATGAGAAGACGAAACTTAAACTTAGATTTTCTGAGAATTGGGAATCTAACAAAAATAAACTCCGATAAACCGCAAATTTGCAGAAAAAATAAATTCTGAAAAACAGCGTTTGAACTTCACAAAATATAAACTCTGAATACACATAATCCTTGGTATAATGTATGCCATGGTTTTGAATCCAAGAAACAAATATATCATCAGAACAAGGTAAATTATCGCCAGAGGTACTAGGTTTTGGATTAAAGCTATATTTAAAAGCAAAAACACATTGATCGTCATTCCGCTTTTACTGTAGTTCGAAATACCACGTCTAAGTTTCCTTGTGCGAAATCTACTCGAGCCTTGCGAAACACCTAAATGCGCGACTTTAAAAGGAAAATCTGCATTTTTCTTTTATATTGAAAAACCTCGGCAACTAAAAATTCGGCGTAAAAAAACGCTTTCAGTTTTCTTGTAGTCAAGCATTAACATATTTTTTCATGCCTTTTTTTTTAAGCATCGCCTTTTCCTTGCACAATTTGAAATTAGATCACACAGGATAGGCCCCTAGCGTTGGTACAAAAATTAACAAAACAGATAGGACTCATCTTGAAGGTTCCTCCGTGAAGCAATCAGGGAAACAACATGGCCTTTATTAAGTCACTTATATGCTGGAGGGGTCAGGTTACAAATGCAGTACGCCACGTAAATGGCTATGCAGATGAAGCAACTCTCGTTCACTTCCGACCACTTGAAGCTCTGGGACGACATCTTTGGCCAATCCAACCAGCTGGTCTGCAGATTGGGCATTCCTCGTCACACTGTCCAACATTTGAACACTAAAAAATGCATACATACAGAATTAATGTCTTGCATTCACCTATTCAAATTACGGGGTATTAACTGCGAGAAAAAATAAATGAAAAAAAAAAAGAATTGGCGAAGATAGGAAAGTTCAAAGGAACTTTCACGTACTTAACAAGTTTATTAGTTTACTAGCCGCGTAGTTCCTAAAATATTATAAGACCGTTGGTCAGCACTGAACCAAGCAGACAACCTTAACGCACTTGATGATATTTCATGTTTAGCTTCAATATAAGTGTCTTTTCAGAAACATTTTTACTGACGTTACGGCCTTTCTGAATGAGATATGTATACTTAAGTTACTTATTAAAATTTACTGCAAGTCGGGATGAGTGTCACCCTCCAGCTAAACAAATAGTTCTCGTGAAATGCTTCCTAAGTACCGCTTTCATGAAGACCATCCTAAAAATAGTAGCGTGGAGAACAGGACTAGACTAGCGATTCTTGCAACTGACGTTCTAATGAAAAGATAAAAAAAGGGTCAAATTAAATTTATATAAAACAAGGATAAAACAAAAGAAAAGAAAATCAAAAAAAGATTTAGGACTGAGATAAAAAAATCAGTAAAAAATAAAAGGACGTTAAAAAATTTAAAACAAAGGGCCGAGAAGAAAAGGCTGTGTGTATTATGGCTAATTTGTCATGGCTACCGATCTCAAAATTATTTTAGTGAACTTGATATGTTTCGTGCCTCTTCCCTGTGCGATTTTAGTATAGCCTTTCGAACGGCAGTTAAAGCAAAAAAATATCACTTTGTTAAAAATGTTCAATATGAGTACACACGTTTCTTCTTACAATACCCGTTATCAAAATACCTGGAACATAGCTAGATTCCGAACAACTTATGGAGATCACTCAATTTTGTATAACTTGCCCGTACTTTTAAATAAACTGTTACATATTGTCACAAATGACAATTGATGAGGCGACAAAAAGTGAAGCAAACTAAACGTTGAATAAGTCCAGCTAGTGCCCAAAACAAAATAAAAAGCCTAGCTTCGCAGGCGTCGATGGCGCTGAAACAGCAGGATCGAACGCTGGGGCAAGACTGACTAAGGCCCGCCATGCGAATGTTCTACAAATCCACCTGCGTGGATTTGTAGAACATTCCGCGTTGAACGTTCGGCGCTAGGAATATTCGGCGCGTAGAAAATTCGTACCTCGATCAGACGACAAGGTTCTCGAACTTATAAAAACACTAAATTGAAAAAAAAGCCGTTTACAACTCCCTGTAACACCGAATTAGAGCGCAGCTCTTGAGGAGGAGGAGGGAAGGGTACTGGGGGGTGAAGTGACCTGGGGGGGGGGGGGTCACGTGACCTTGGGGAGTCACGTGACCATGCCGATGATGTCATCATCTGTGACATCGTCATCATGACATCGTCATCTGTGATGATGACGATGCGGATGCCGGTGACGTCATCAGTGATGATGACGATGCGGATGCCGGTGACGTCACTGATGACGTCATCAGTGATGATGACGATGACGATGCGGATGCCGGTGACGTCATCGGGGAGGTCACGTGACCTCGGCGGGGGTCACGTGACTCTGGGGGTGGTCACGTGACCTGGGGGGTGTCACGTGACTTCGGGGGGGGGGGGGGGTCACGTGACTTCAGGGGGGTCACGTGACTTTGGGTGTCACGTGACCTTGTGGTGACCTTGGGGGTCACGTGACCTTGGGATGACCTTGGGGGCCACGTGACCTTGGAATGACCTTGGTTACGCCGACGCCGACGCCGACGCCGACGCCAACGCCGACGCCGACGGCGACGCCGACGCCGCTCAAGCCGGGAACGGGCCCCTAAGAGCTGCGCTCTAAAATGAAAGACGCGTCTCTCCCAGGTTTTGAAACGGGGACCCCCGCACGAAAGGGAAGTACGGCAACCACTCGGCCACGCACGCGCTCGCTCGGCGTGGCGTGCGTGGGATTATGAGTATAGTTCCGGAGATGTCCCGGAAAAAATTCGAGAAGACACTTGAGACTGCTTGTGCGTAGTATTGCCAAAGCATTCGTTACACGCAGCGCACTCCTACAAGCAGCGCGCCCTGTCTTCCTTTTGCACACGGCGCTCAGGCGGTGATATCAAGCTACCCTCTGTGCAAGTGCGGCGCCATTGAAGTTGAGTGCGTCTCTTCCAGAAAAAAAGACGAAACAAACCCCGAGCACCATGAATAAAGAAGGAGATACTGCTGCACGCCCGACGAATGCGTCAGCTGTTCGCACAGGCAAACCGAAATAACTGCCCCGTTACACCTCAGGCAGCCCGTACTCTCCAGAGAGACCTGAAGAAATGCATCAGGCGCACCGGGACTACGCTTTGGACATGGCACGGTTGGCCGTAAGGTATCCAAAAATATTTTGGGCCTATGTAAGACGCAACAAACAGAACACGTCTACTCTAAACATATCTCAGGACGGCAAGGCTGTAAAAGACTTGAAAACTGTGGAACATTTTAGCAAACACTTCGCTGCATCATGGATACCACCCAGCAGCCCCTCATCACAACCAGACAGAAACCTACCCATCATAACCGCAGCTGGCCACCTCGCCCGGTTTAACCAGAATCCCCATAATCGAGGACGATGCCAAGGAGGCTCTCACCCGACTAAATCCGTCACAGTCACCCGGTCTCCACGGCATCCACCCTGCGCTCCTTAAAGCAAGTTGCCAACAACTAACCCCATTACTGCCTCGAATATTCCAGCAGCGCCTGGACACTGGATGCGTCCCTGCCATATGGAAGCAGGCCTACGATATTCTGATTTATAAAGGAAATGGTTCCCCAGCAGACAATCTAGGATCCTACAGACCAATCACCACGGCATCGGTCGTCTGCCGTACAATAAAACGACTGCAAAACTATGCCCTACACAAATACTTAAACGACCACGCTCTTCTGTCTCGAGAACAACATGGCTTTTGCTCCGGTCAAAGCTGTGAGACTGTGATCAATGTTGTTCACCGGATTAGCGACAGGCTGGACAACTCCACACTGCGCCAACTGGCACAGCTCGACTTCACCAAAGCCTTCGACAAGGTTGACCGCAAGCTCCTGATAACCAAACTGGAGAGCATCGGTATCAGGGGCACCCTACCTCGCTGGCTATCTAATTATATTCTGCACATTCAACATGTGATGTTCAACGGATAAAAGTCCCAACCTCGAACTGTTCAATATGGAGTCCCCCAAGGCAGTGTACTCGGTCTGACCTTCTCAGTTTTTATCAATGACATCTTCCAGGTTATACACTCTACCGCTATCATGCAAGCATCTGATGCCCTTCAGCCGATTCGATCTCAGGAAGGCTATAACTAACTTCAACGGACCTTGATTAGACTCACGCCTAGACTATCAGAAACAAATTACCAGTGTGTGCGTCAAAATCTGGTACAGTTCACTTCACTTCAAAAGAAAAGTGCACAGTCTGCCAGTAATATTAACTATTAACGGAACTCCGGATGAACGAAAGGAGAGAATATCTCTGGTGAGTGGTCACCCTCGACAGTAAACTCGGCTTCACGGCACATGTCACTCCGACGCCTTAAGCACACGACGAATGCTGAGATTTGTGCCAACTATTAGCGAGGGTCTGGGGCCCGCTGCGCTCGCGCAGTTGTATACTGCACTGGCCTGTCTGGTCGGTACAAGGAGCCTCGGCCCAGAAGACACTGGAGACAACCCAGCGGCGACCAGCTTACGGTACTTATAGAATATTTGCAATTTTCCCAAGCGCCCCGGCCCACGCGCGAGGAATTGTGGGAGAGACTGTCCTTCGCCTGGCCGCTCTGCCTTGAGGTCGCAGTGCCTTGTCGCTTGCCTCCTTTTAATCCTCTGTTTTTCGATTCCATTACCTATTTTATCTATTCCAGTGTACTTTTTATTGCTTCTAAGTGTTCCTATTCTCTTCTGCGCGCGATATTTCTTGTATATATATAGTAATTGTGTCTTTATTTCGCCTTTTTCGACGGGAGTGCCGACGGACAACACGCCGCTTCGTGCGTCGTTCCCCGGGTGAGTACTACCGTTGCTTCCGATTCCTATCGCGTTGTTAGGTGTTCATTTTGGTTTATTTGACCCGCGTGCAGTCGAGAGGAGCCGTTTATGAACACCCGCGCACATGTCATCGGGGTAGGCAGAGCTCTGAATCAACAATCGCGACGCAAGAGCCGAGTGCGCTGTGATTTGGCCGCCCGCGCTCGCTCTGTTGACTCGCACTGTAGCGTATGCCTTCGAGTGCCGCTTAACTTGACCAAGATACAGCACGCCGCTTTGCCGTCGCGAATCATTTGTCCGAATGCTTGCGAAACCGTAACACCGTTCGGCATATCCAACGCAGCGGCGCCTGACGACTGCACGCAGCGGCGCGAGCCCTTAGCAAGAGCCGGCTGTTTAACGTCGCGGCTTGTATGCGCCTTTTGCATGCATTTATGATCAGTCTTCTTGGCGGTTGTCAGTTGCTGACATCTTGACTCGAGCATCAGCTGACATCTTGACTCGAGAAATAAAATGATCGAAGGAACTACAAGTTTTAAGGTGACTGCCTGGGTGACAGGACATCTCTGCACTTCAAAAAGGGTGCTTGCAACTGACAACCGTTTAGCAGATAGATTAAGAAGGCATACCATAAGCGCATACAAGCCGCGACTTTGGGCCACCGGCGCTTGCGAAGGGCTCGGGCCGCTGAGCCAAGTTTGTCAGGCACCGCACGTTGGATATGACGAACGGTGTTGCGGCTTCGCAGGCATTCGGACAAATGATTTGCGACAACATATCTCTGCACTTAAAAAGGGGCGTTGGCAACTGACAACCGCTCAGCAGACAGATTACGAAGGCGTGCCATACGCGCATTCAGGCCGCGACATTAAGCCGTGGGCGTTTGCGATGGGATCGCTCCGCAGCGCGCAGTTGTCAGGCGCCGCATCGTTGCATATGCCTCAGCTTCGCAAACATTCGGACGAATGGTTCGCGGCGACAAAGCGGCGTGCTGTATCTTGGTCAAGTAAGCGGCACTCGAAAGCACAGGCCACAGTGCGAGTCAACGGAGCGAGCGCGGGCGGCCAAATCACAGCGCACTCGGCTCTCGCGTCGCAATTGTTGATTCAGAGCTCTGCCTACCCCTATGACATGTGCGCGGGTGTTTGTAAACGGCTCCTCACAACTGCACGCGGGTGAAATGAACCAAAATGAACAGTTAACGGCGCGATAGGAATCGTTAGCAACGGTAGTAGTCACCCGGGGAACGACGCGCGAAGCGGCGTTCTGGCCGTCGGCACTCTCGTCGAAAAAGGCGAAATAAAGACACAAAAAACTATATATATGCAAGAAATATTGCGCGCAGGAGAGAGCAGAAGCACTTAGAAGCAATAAAAAAATACACTAGAATAGATAAAAATAAGTAATGGATTCGAAAAACAGATGATTAAGAGGAGACAAGCGACAAGGCAATACGATCTCAAGGTAGTGCGGCCAGGCGAGGGACAATCTCTCCCACAATTCCTCGCGCGCGGGCCGGGGCGCTTGGGGGATTTCGCAAAAGGTCTATTGGCGTACCTCTCCAAGCCCTCGCCTTCTCCCTCGTGACGTACCGACAGAACAGCTCTTCAGACCAGCCAAGTGGAGCACACTGTCCCACCGGCGTGATGTAGTCACCCTACGGTTGCTGGTTCACGTGATTGCCCTGGGATTCCACAAGACGGCTACCTTTGCTCTGTACACCGGCTCAACCAACAGACCGGAAGCATCGACCCTCTCTTCGCGCGGACCCAACAGCAAGACAACTCGCGGCTACTCCGGGGTGTTAGACTTTAAGTGTCTGCCTGATGCCATCACTAGCCTGCATCTCACAAATGGGGACGAGGTTACACAGCTCTGCACGGCGGTGGCCAAACACCTCTAAACTATCGCCCACGAATGTCTCGTGTACCTCATCAAACTTCACAAACCTAACCTTTCACCTTCTTCACCATCCCATCATTATAAACATTCCGCACGCATCAAGCCAAGAAGCTTCACATCGCACACGTCACCATCATCGTCTACTTCGACCGGGCGCAGAGGCAAATGTGTACGGGCGGCCACGCCTTCTATGTGGACTGTACCTAAACGTACAAATAAATATCTATCTATCCATTTATGTAACATACTAGCCACCACCCTATTTTGTTTCATAAAGACTACAGGGTGCGTCCGCTATTTATAAGCCAGAGTATTATCGCAGTCAGCTGCTGTCCGCCGGGTGGGACCATTTTTTTCTCCATGTGCTTTATTAGTCTCTTTCAGGCCGTCAGTAATAATCAAAACAATATAATCTAGATTTCATTCTTATGAAATTTAATGCATTCCAAACTAGATCTGGCGTCGTATAATAGCTGATGTAAGTGATCACTTTTTTGTGTAAAATCATGATTGCAAGCAAAAAATTCATCATAATCAGCCATTGGTACGTTTCCAGGACGTACCGCTAGGTGCCTAAATGACTCTGGCAGAGAAGCTCATATTTATACTAAAACGGTAAAAAAAGTGGCGCAAATTGGCTTGCAATTGTGTTACGTGATTCGTTCTTGGTTAAGCGGTAGTGGTGCAATCTGCTAGCGCTAAACCAACTGTTTATTGAAGTTAGTGGTGAGTTAGTCTAAGAGTTCGAATTAGAGTTATTTAGAGGTAATGTTAGGGTTAGTAATAGAGTTAGTGGTTATCCTTTCATCCTTTCTTCCCCCTATCCCAAACAGAATAGTAAGCCGGGACAAAATTCCTCAGGTTAACTTCTTTGTCCTCCTCGCTGCCCTTCGTTCCCAGTGGTGCTAACTCCACTTTTCACGCTTAAAATTTTCCGTTAAATGTAGCGGATAAACTAAATTGACGTGCAGGTCACGTGCCGTCAATTTTCCCGCTAAATCTAACGGGAAAACTGAAATTGCGCATGGGTCACGTGACATGCCACGTGACGTCAATCTTTTGCTAAATTTACCGGTAAAACTGAGCTTGTGTGTGGGTCGCGTGGCATAAAGGAACATGACATCATTTTCGCCGCTAAATTTAGCGGGGTGACTGAATTGGTCTTTAGGTGACGTGACGTCAATTTTGCCGCTAAATCTACCGGGAAAATTTAATTTGTTTGTGGGTCACGTGACACAAAGTCACGTGACGTCAATTTTTCCGCTAAATTTAGCGGGGATACTGGATTTACGTATAGGAGACGGGACATATGAAGTCATGTGACGTCGTTTGCCCTGCTAAATATAGCGGGGAAGATCGCGGTTACGCTCTTTGAGGATTCACTTCATCTGAAAGCCTAGCCTATAAACGTTTCACGTTAAAATATTCATACAGTGCGGACAAGATGTACTTGGCGGAATTTCAAAATATTGTAGCATGTGTTTTGCATATAAACCAGGACGTGATTTTAAAGAGAACTGTAAGCCATGTATTTCAAAGACATACCTATGAAAATCGATTTACGAATACATTATACAAAATCTTTAAAATGAAGGATAATCGAAACCTAATAGTTTTTTGGGGTTATCAGGACACAGTTTGCATGTTACGTATGAGTTTGGTGAGCGGTGTACGCCGCGGAAGTTTTCTTTTTCTGTGACCTGTTCACAAAATTGCGACGTAAACATATATTTTTTATTGTGACAGGCGGTATTCAATCATCTAACCGTCAGAGTCTATGGTCGCGATCTAGAACGTTTGTACTTTTTAGTAATCATAGATAATGTATTATTTTCCTAGGATATATATTTAGCATTTCAACACCGTCTGGGTCATTGAAAACAAGTAGAAAGATAGTTTAGACAACCTACCCTCGCGTTACACTTGGACACAGCAGCTTCATAGGCACAAAATCTGGAAGAAACAGACTGTACATTAAAGTCATAAAGGTGCCTCCTAAAATTACCGAGCAGTTTTAAAGCCAAATTACAGTTAATCAAATTATGCCCGTCATATTCCTAAAGTTCTACAGAACAGGCATTTACGCATAAGTAACAAGAGTAATATTGAATGCATTTCTGCCTGGACTGATTAGACTGGCAGTTACCGAGGAGTTATAGGCTTCAAAGGAAGACACCATCAGTTGCTCCGGAAGCGGGGGGGCAGGGTGGGCTTGAGCCCCTCCTGTCCTCAGGACCGAGCTGCCGAGCCCCCCCTCCCCCTCCTTTTTTTTTTTAGTTTGTGTGTTTGCAGGTTATCTGGTATAGGCCTTCGGCCTATCTGCTGTACCTCCGTCTCTCCTGAGCCGAAATAAATGACCCTTTATGCATGCTGACCTACCGCCCTCCTCACCTCCGCCAAGCACAAAAAGCACCGCGGCGACGGAGAGGCTTGCTTGAAACGTCAAAACCAGAAGAAAATGACAGGCAGGACTCATGAGCCTGATTGACAACCAGTTTAGAGCGAACAAAGAGGGGACAGTGAAATGAATGGATTCCGACAAGACGACGTCGGCGAGCGTTTGTCTGCTTCCCCCGAGTGGAAGCAAGAAACCCAGAAGATGCATGGTGCTTCTCTGGCCCGCGGACAAAACAGGCAGGCGGTACTACCGCGGCGCTTAGAGGCCATCATTAGGAGAGGAAGGGGGGAAGGGGGGGGCTGGTGAGCTTGAGTGGGGATTCGGGAGTGCTTAGAAAAGGCGAGTCTACGAGCTCCCAAATTTGACAAGGCGCCTTCGATGGCGAAAGCTTTCCGCGCATGCGGTGTCGTGCCCGCAGGGTGGTGAGGTATTAGGCGACACATGTTTACAAACCCAGGACAACACAACACAAAGTCTCAAACACAGCTCTTATCATTCAGCACCTTCCTTTTGTGATGCCTCCCAACTTACATTGCCGCCATGAGTCCGAAGCGATCACGGTCGATGTACTTGACCCTGAGGTACATACCGATGTATGCAATCTCTGCCTCCAGTTGAGACATCCGATGGCCCAACATTGCTGTGTTTGAGACTTTGTGTTGTGTTGTCCTTCCCCCCCCCCCCCCCCCCCCCCCCCCCCCGAGTCTCGGGGTTTTGTCTAAAACATTTAACACTTGTTTGTCTACGTCTGCGTTAATACATCATGCTTCCCCGAGAATCCCTAGATGAAGGAACGTTTTCATTTTTAGACATAGCCAATTTGGCATAGGCACAGCTGCGGTTGATATGTAAAAGTTGGTATAGGAAAGAAAAAATAAAGAACAGATGGTGCGGCTGATTTCAGTGGTTATCCAATCATTGTATGAGTTGTCAGTGCAAGCTTCTTACTGTTATTTTACTGAACCATTGTTTTACTTTGTTTTTCATGGATATGTGCGTGAATATGCGAACGCGCTGCATTAATATGTTTTCATTCCAATATGGCAATTAATGTCAACCTGAAACCAACCTAACCTTGAGGATTTCGGAGATGTCGAGCCCCCCCTTCAAAGAAAAACTTCCGGAGCCTCTGGTCACACCATTCATCCAAAACAAGTGCAGTACAGGTGATAAGTAAAAGTTCTTGCCGTCCACCACGCAGTCCCGTGCACGGTTTAGTGACTTTGTTGTTATCCTCGTGACACTCACCCCAACTGGTCGGTCACGTGTCAACAGGCGTGTGCAGTACAGTCATGTCTCGTTAATATGGACCCCGTTAATATCGATACCTCGCTATACAGACACCATTTTCGGGGACAAACTGGGAAAATACATACATTTTTGTCTCGTTTCTGTGAACAACTAACATTATGGACGATTTTTTTTTTTGCGGGGGAACGGAGGGGTTTGTATTAACGAGATATCACAGTATATATATTCTCCGATAACTGAACAGCCAAATTACCGCAATCAATCACATTCATAAAGATGATGCGGTGGTCATTTGGTTGGAGCCATTGTGCAAAAGAAGCATCCTACAAATGATTTTTTTTTGTACGTGGCAACTAAAGGTTTATTTAAAGTCTTTGTTGCAGGTGAACAGGCTAACCTTGCACTCTGAACTTCGGCGGTATTTTATTTATTTTTGTAGATATAGACAAAGATCAGCTGAACCGCATTGTCAACGAGATTTGAAGGGTTTTATGGATAACGGAGTATATTAATGTTGATTTATCTATGATACGAGCTTCTTTGTGTACTAATACAACAGGCATTCGTGAAGGCGTGTTGTGTATAATTTTTACGTTTCGACTAGGTGCCAAGTGCGGACTGTGCACCGTTGCGGACTATCTGAGCAACTATTTTTATTTTTGACCCCAAATCTGCTTTTGCGGACTATGCACTGGGCGTGAACGATAGCTCGGAAAATACGGTATATGTCGACGGATCGATTGTTGACCAGCGCATACGTCCGAGCGACGCAGTGCTATTTTCCAATCTGTTGAGCTGAGTTCGGCTGACTTGATTGGGCACCGCGGACGCATCACGGTGAAAAGGCGGAGAGCTTTCGAAGGAAAGGAGGTAAGAAATAGTCGGCTATATTTTCAAATGTTTCCTACCGCAGAGTGGGCTTTTGGTTTTCAAGACTCGCGTACTAGCCTTCCTTTGGTCCACTAAATGATACGCGATTAGTAAAATCCCAATCTAAAGTGCTTTATCTCGGACCAAAGTCTATTTATTCGTCCCTTAAGCGTCCAGATATGTCTCGCGCTTTACCCTACGTTCAGGTTTGGTTGAGTGCTACACACTCTAAAAAAAGGGTGTACACCTTTTTGTCCCATATAATACACCCCAAAATTTCATTTCGACGTACAGCTCACTATAGTCGAACAGGCGGCCAAAAATTTTACGAGGGGCTTGATAACGGTGCGATGTAACTTATTAAATATCTAAAGTACGTATCAAAGACCACATAAAGAAAACACGGTGTTTTTGCAGTAAGGCCAAGAAAACCCCGATTATCGTTTTTGTAGTGAGTAACGCGTACATGAACTATTTTCATAAGTTGTACCACACGGCTATCAAGCCCCTCGTAAAATTTCGGGCCGTCTGTTTGACTATAGGGCGCTTTACGGTCGAATTGAAGTTTTGGGGTGTATTATATGGGACAAAGGGTGTAAAAATACACCCTTTACACCCTTTTTTTTAGAGTGTAAGATCCGTTTCACACGAAGTCCAACGGCATCCAAGACTGCGCTCCGAGCGAGCCAATTAATCAGTTACAGAAGTGCATAGTCACAGCTCTCGTGCTCGTCGCCTATGGAGGCTTGCTATCACCGGATCAACCAATCATGCACAGAAAAAAAAAAAAGAAAAAAAAAAAAAACACGCAGGATCACTTCGAATTCGCCGTGCCGTGCATGATTAGTTTAGTCTCTGATAGCTAACGCTCAAAGTCGACGAGCGTCATGACGAAGCACTTTTGGTGCACCTCGATCGGCTTCATGGGACAGTAGCGTTGGCTGCGCTCAGAGTTGATGTTAAACAAAATCTAGTATGATGGCACAGATTACTCACCCTTGCAGAAGAAGAAGGACGACAAAAATGGTTAGCGCATGCATTGTCGGCAAGGCTGTTTAGGCCTGACTTCTCGATTGTCGTCAAAAGAAGTTAGGGATGCTCAAACCGTCCACCGATCGCCTTTTTATGCTCCCCCAAAGAACCGCGGCACGTGGAAGTTTATTCATCGACGTCATGTTCCTAATTAACGCGCACATGTTTTTTTACGTTATACCTTTCTCCAGCTGTCTTGACGTGTTATGTACCTTAGGTTCGGTGTCCTTTTACAAAACAATGAATAAACATCCGAGCGCGTTGGCGAAGACCGCGTAAACAAAAAGCGGAAATGCGTAAAACAATACAGGAAACCGGACATTTAGTTTCCGATGTTCATTGCTCTCTATTTTCATGACCTTCGAAGGACCGAGGACCTTTCACCGAACTTTTGCACTGAGAATTCAAATAACTTTTCTTGCACATGACATTCGGGCGAAAGGACATCCAAGGGGCTACAAGGTGCTACAAATGCGTCCCTTGACGTCAGGTCGCGTGACATTCTTCCCCTCCCCCAAATTTAGCGGGGAAACTTTTTGTTTACGCTCATGCCGTCGGTAAACAGGGGAAAGATTCACTAAAAGCTACCGCTGTAAAAGGATATTCAAGGGGCAGAGTTTATTCGGTCGAAATATGGTTTTGGTATGGTAATTTAGACTCTAGAGCACTTAAAGCCGTAAAAAGCAAAGGTATCACCGAACTTGACAATCCTTGTCAGAGTCAGGATATTTTGACCCTAAATGGTCGAAGAAGTGCCAGAGTTAGGCTTCACTGCGTTTTTTTCCCCTGATACGTGATGTTTCGAGCTTTGTTCGTATGTTTTCAGTTGTCCACAGAAAAAGTGGATAGCCGGGAGAGGTGTGGGATGTAGTTCAGTAGCAAGCGTTGAGCAACAATTTCGAGGACACCTAAGGACCTCTTATGAGTTGTAAAGGCGGAAGCATCACTGGCTCGCTGGTGACTGCTGCGCCACTGGGTGAGGCAGCGGCGGGAGTGCGAAGCACGATGCGGCGTGTGGTGGAATCACGTGTCATCTCATCATCATCACCGCCCCAGCTGCAGGTACCAGTAGATGACGTTAGACCTCAAAGCGTAACGTTAGGCATCACGTTAGGCCTTCGATCGTCAGGCCAGCGCATACCCGCGTCTCCCCTCCCGCTGCGCCGCTAGCAGTTCGGCTGGCTCCTTAGCAACGATGACGCCGTTTCTATGGAGCCACATGACGCGTGACAGCCAATGGGAATTTAGGTGCCATTTCGCTCAGCCAATGGGAACATAGGTGCTGTTTCGCTCACACAATGGGAATTTTGGTGCCGTTTTTCGCCAGCTTAGCTCTAGGTGACAATTAAGGCTCTCGCATTAATATTCTTTTTTTTTTTTTAGCGCAGCTTTTAGGCGCTTGTTTTCGGCTTGAGAGGCGTCGCCATCGGCGTCGGCGAAATCGCGCGTTGCATAATGGGACGTTTCCCATAATGACGTCACACGTGACGTCAAGAGGCTCACGAGTGACGTTATGAGGGCCACGAGGAAGAAGGAGGAAGAGACGGAGGAGGAAATTTTTTCCACTAAATTTAGTGGAAAATGAATTTTCCACTGAAATTAACGGAAGAATTTCCGCGCTAAAATTAGCGCAAACATTTCCCCGCTAAATTTAGCGAAAAAAGTTTCTCTCTAAATTTATCGGCAAAACCCTGCTAAATTTAGCGGGTAAATTTCCCCGCTACATTTTGCGGAACAATTTCCCCGCTAAATTTAGTGTAAAATTCCACCCTATTATAGCGGAAAAGATTTTCACGCTTGTTCTAGCGAAAACTTTCCCCGCTAAATTTAGCGGAAAAAGTTCCTCGCAACAGTTAGCGGAAAACTTTCTGGGATACCGATTTAGCGAAATAGTTCCCCTCTCGATTGAGCAGAAACATTTCCCCACTAAATTTAGCGACAAAAAATTCCCCGCTAAATGTACCGGAAAATTTTCCCCTCTAAATTTAGCGGAAACATTTCCCCGCACTAATTTAGCAGAAAAATTTTCCCGCTAAGTTTAGCATGTAATTTTTCCACTGAATTCAGCGGGAAATTAAGCGAAAATTTCCCTCTAAATGGTAGTGGAGGAAGAGAGGGGGAGGGGATGGTAGGAGGGGCATGCTCTCGCCTCTGTACCCTCCCTCCTCCGGCTCAAGAGCTGCACTCTAATTCTGCATCACAGGGAGTTTTAAACGTCTTTCATTTTCGTTTTAAATCGACGACTAAAACTAAACCTCGAAAGTGTCTTCAGGGTGGAAGGTTCAGGGTGGGTGGAACATGAAACACTGAACAAGGACCAAAGGGGTTGACAACATAAAGCATTGATTTTGTCTGAAACTTTATTAAATCACAATAAATCATTCATACTTCTTATCTCCTTGCTTATACGGTAACTCTAGCTACATATAAGACAAGTGCAACGACGATTCGCTTGTGGAACTGGTAGTTACTGGCGCTTTTATGCTGAAATACTCCTAAATTTCTGGTGTTTTATTCATTGATATCATCTTCCTGAGTAACGCACCCTTGCTTGTTTACGTTATACCGTTCCCCAGCTGTGGTCACATGTTATGTGTCTTATGTACGGTGACCTTTAACAAAGAAATGAATACACACGCGAGCGCGTTGGCGAAAACCGCGTAAGCAAGAAGCGAAAATGCGTAAAAGAAAACAGGAAATCGCACATTTAGATTCTGATGTTTATTTGTCTCTTTATTTTCTTGATCTTCGAAGGACCGAGGACCTTTCACCGCACTTTTGCACTGAGAATTAAAATAGCTTTTCTTTCATGACATTCGGGCGAAAGGACATCCAAGGGGACATCCAATACGTCCCATGACAATATCTCCCCCCCCCCCCCAAAAAAAAAAAAAAAAAGAAAAAAAAAAGAAAAAGGTTTTAGGAAAGCTTTTTGTTTACGCTCATGCCGTCGGGAAACCAGGGAAAGGGTCACTAAAAGCTACCGCTGTAAAAGGATATCCAAGGGACAGAGTTCATTTGGTCAATATAAGGTTTCGGTGTGGTAATTTAGAGTTCATAAAGCCCTAAAAACCAAGGCACAACCGAACTTGACATTTGTTGTTAAAGTCTGGATATTTTTTTCCGGAATTGTCGAAGAAGTGCCAGGGTTAGGCTTCGTTGCGGGTTGTTTGGCTGATAGGTGGTGCTTCAAGCTTTGTTTGTTTATTTTCAGTTGTACACAGAAAATGAGGATAACCGGGAGAGGTGTGGTAATTATGTGGGTGAGCAGAAGTAGAGTACTTTGGACCCCTCTAACGCTTTAAAGGAAAGCCTTGTTTGGTCCAAGGATTGCAGAACTTGAGCCAAGTTTGTCGAATCACTGGCGTACTGCTTAGAGTGTTGTGGGATTCCCCTTACCTTACTGCACCACGAAGTAGATCCCACTCCCTTGGTGGATGGTGAGGACTGCTACGGCCGGGTCCGTCCGAAGGCCGCCTTGGGCTCCGAGGAGAGGAATCACTCCGAAACACAAGAATTCTCAAGAAGAGGGTTCATTGGGGTTTCGCCACCACGATGTGCCCGTCGGCAAAACTAATGAATGAAAAGAACGGAAAAATGTCGGCGCTGTTGTATCAGACAGATTCACCTGGAGGGGACCCACGCTGCCGTACTATAGGGAGATTCGTGGCTCGGCGGGGAAGCACAAAAAGAAAGAGGCTCGAAACCAGAGCCTCTCCCGAAAAGACTATCGGCCGCCGTCTTCGGCCGGCTTATCTAGCCTGCGGGAAATGGTGTGGCTTATTCCGCAGATGGGTCGCGTCCACAATCATTTCCAGGCGTGCGCCAGGGGCACATTCATCTAAAGGGGCGACTCCCTCGCCCCTTTGGGTGAAGGTGCCTCTTGCGCACCCTTGGAAATGAAAAAAAAACCGCCCTCTTCGAGGAATGGGGCCTGGCCTCGTATCCGCGAAGCCGCCATCATAGCTGTTCCCAAGACCTGCCTGTGCTAGGCCTAGGGAGACGGGGAACACGTGGTTCCCACAGCGTTTATGATGAATTTGGAAGTGATATGCTTTCTCTTGTCCAGAGAGAGCTTATAAAATAATAAAAACCCGGCTGGAAGTTATGGCAATTGATTTTTTTTCCACTGGAAGCAATTTATTGATGGGCAAATGTTCGACCTGGATGAAGACCTGAAAGCGGAAGTAGAGATGTGGTTCAGTTCTCGAGCGGTAAATGATTGACAAACTTGTGCTACGTTACAACAAATGCTTTACACCGAAGAAGAGGATCTGAAAAAAGTTGCTTTCGATTCGCGGAAGTAATAAATGCGTTTCTAAAAGTTTATTGTTCAGTATCATTGTGATTCTTACTTCGGGACTCGTCAATTGTTTAGCCAAACATACTATTTAAAAGCGAGCGCGTGTTTGCCTCCTCCAAGTGTGGGCACGGTGCGTTCTTTTTTAAATACTTATACGGCTGTATTATCTCTGATAAAAAAATATTAATTCTCTTTCAATTTAAAATTTACGCCTACGTGAGTTTTCCAGCTAAATTCGGGCGAAGTTGCGATGCACGGTGAGCTATTTTCTATTTTTGTGTTTGCTAGACTTGAAGCATGACCAAGTTTAATACAAAGTTATGGTCATTACAATTTGCACAACAAACAGGCATATGCTTTGTAGATGTCTTTTTAAAAGGTGTTCAGTACTGAAGATAGATTAAGTAGATAGGCGAGGCGGTTGACATTACAGGTTTTGGAAGAACCGTATGTCGTTTCCGTTTTTTTTTCAAGTTCAATATTGTCAGCCTAGTATTACATAGCCGCATACAAATGTTTATTCAGATAACGTATCCGAACAGTTTAAAAGGTTATATCGACATTAAATTTACGAAAACGAAGCTGGAATATGCTAAGCAGATGCCATTAAAAAAAGGACATAACGTTTCTGATTTATGGCTTATGACAATGCATCCTATATATTTCAAGCGCTCTTAGGCCTTCTACATCATTACACATTGTTTATGTATCGCTGAAGTGAGCGTTGAGTAAAAATTGTGGGGACACCTAAGCATTTCCTATGAGTTGGGAATGGGAAAGCATCCCTGGCTC